TCTATTTACATTGCAGTGTCCATATAAACTGTAAAACTCCCTGCATAATTATAATAAAGCAATTTATATGCATGAAACAAGTGTAGCAGTAATTGCCATACAGCTACACTTGTGAAAGTAAAATCTGTTGGGGTTTTTTTGGCATCAAGACAATTATTCGTATTGCCACATTGCCAGACAGGACACTGTTAAAAAAAAAAAAAAAAAAAAAAAAACAAGTGCAACTCTAATTAGATATTTATAATAGCAAACTATTATATTTTCAATACAGATTACGACAACATTTTAATATTGTTTTATTTAAGTCACGACACAATAAATTGTTTTTAAAAAGACATCTGTAATTTCTTTGGATAACTATAACATAAATCAATAACCATTTAGTCCAAGTTTCCTCCTGAATTTTTACCCATGACGATTAGCATTGTTTTTATTTTTCTGTGTAAGTAAGCCAAACAAAGATGAGAAATACCCCTTGCAAGAAAGCAGCCTTAACACAACTGAAAAGAAAATAGTTTAACAATTTTGAAATATTGTGCATATGCCCTTTATCCTGTAGCATTCTATGAAAATAGCTGTATAAACAAGGCTGCCATGGAAATACTCAAGAATGCACAGTGTCGTTGGCTGGAGTTAATTGAATGGTACAGACCGGCCTTCATGTAGGCATACTGTACTTTAGGCAGAGACTCCATTTTCTACAGCTAGATTTAGAGTTAAGCTGGCAGTTGGACCAGCACCAAGAGTTAGAGTCAAGGTGACAGTAGTGGAAGATCCTCAGGCCCCTCTGCCAGACTGTATACCACACTCTATGTCAGGCTTCCACTAAAGTACACTAGAGCCCCCACCATTCTCCTTCACTTTGTCTTTTGTCTACTTCTCTCTATATTAAGGTTGTATCTTCATTGCCTTATGCAAAACTTCGCTATGACTTGATTTATTAACTTTTCTGAATTTCTTTATTGTGTTAACCAAGTATACTTTGGAGCATAACACAGACCTAAAATATCTTTTCTCCATTATTCTTCAGCTCATCTCTGGTACCTTACTGTAACTTCATCTCCTCTATGTTGATTCCTACACCAATCACAACAGACACTGTGGCAATGGTTTCTACCCCTCTCTCCCTGGGCAGTGACCTGCCAGCACTGCCCCGCTCTGGGAGCTCGTAGCTGCTGTAATTACCTCTGGCACCCAGGCTCTGGGGCTACACAGGTGACATGGTGAGTGCAGAAGGCTGAAAGAAGGAAAGAGAGGTTCTTTCTGCATAGGCGAGAGAGGGGATGTCAGGAATGCTGCTAATCTTCCTCCTGGTGCAAGATTGAGGGTAGAGCTATACGGCGTATGAATAACACTTTTCCAATTAACTTTTTAGGAGAGTTGTGTCCCTTTTAGAGAATGTAAAAAGTTAAACGACAATATATCTTTTTAGGTACTGATTTTCAACAGAGTTCTGTAGAAGTCTGGAAAAGCAGCTCTGATAGAGCAATACCACAAAATGTGGACTTAAATGCAAAAAAAGTAAATAACCCAAATTTTGAAGCGTCTTCAGAGACAAAGGAACTGCAGTAATGTACTTAAAGCCCTGTAGCATTTGTTTGCCCCCTATTGTTTACATCTAGGTTTTAGATTCGTAAACATTGAGGATTACTGTCTGAAAAATGTTCCGTCTAAAGGAATGCTGTTTTGGCATGTCTTTGTCTTCTCCAAATGAGGGCGTGCTGTGATCATCTACCACACATGGTGAAAAAACTGTAATGTTTGAAAAAGGATACATACATTTAGTGTGTTTGTGTGTGTGTGTGTGTGTGTGTGTGTGTGTGTGTGTGTGTGTAGGTGGGGGGGTCTGGATGGGAGCCTCCGGCGGGGACATAAAGTAGAGGTGAAGGACGAATATGAGGGTTGTGTTATCTAAGACTGCAGCACAGCATCATAACAATAACAAATGAAGACTGTCATCGTTGCTCAGATCTTAGACAGAGGGGAAAATATCCCATGTGTCAGAGCCTCTCACCTTTGAATGTGCTGCTCTTAACAGGTCTGATTTTGACAAACTACAAGGCTGGTTTGTATTCGCCTCTTGTGGGAGCTGCCAGCGTTCTGGCTTTAACGACACAGATCTGTCCTTGGTACAACAAATGGGGCTGGTAGTTTACTCCGTGTAGGGCAGAGACACTCACTGCTAGTAAGTCATTCAGCTGGTGTTGGTCAGCTTATTACAATAAACTCTATAATATATAGCTGAACACAAAGAAAATTCCTTGGGTTCCTGGGTTAATTAATGTCATAACCAGTGTTTGAAATATTTGGTAATCTTGCCTATTTCTGTTTCAGTTAATAAGGATTTAATGATTCTTAAAGTCTTTGTATTTTCAAATTCCTTATGAAGATGATAAGGTGCAGTTAAGCATCATTTAAAAAGAGTTAAACAGCATTTTAGATTAGTGAAGGTAGAATGCTGTAAAGCAAAGCTTGCTGAGGTTAACTCTACTATGAGGATTTTCAGAGCATGTAGAGATGGCTTGCCTCTTAACTTTCACACCTTCATGGTTCGCTTTTCTTTCTTGCTTAAAACATACAAATACTATACAAAAAGTTTGAAGTTCTCTTTAGTAGTTTTGCAGATGACAGTCAACAACCCTAAAGATGACAGGCCTCAATTAGTCAAATGTAAAAACCTAGATGAAAACTCAAGGACTACTTTGATTTTATCTTCTAAACAAAATTCTTGTAAAAGCTTCCATCAACTTCCACAGGTCATGTTACACTGCTAGGCAAATGCAAAGTGTTTTAATAACAGATTTTTCTCTCACATTTTGTGGCTGTTTAATAGCACAAAATGAAGTGGCACCGGTTACGCCCAATTACATAATCTTTGTTTGACAAAACACTATATTTCTGTACTTAATTGTCCCAGTAGAGTAAATTGGAAAATTAATGCATGTATGCAAGCCAAGGACACACTTTTACATAATTGCCTGAGGTTTCAACAGTGTGCAAATATGTAGACTTTTAAGGCATTAATTATCTAGTATGTAGTAATATGATCTTCAGCTCAGATAGGCAGCAAAAAAATGTTTGACATCAATTTAGAATGCCAAGCATTCTGGATATAGGAACTACCACTATTAAATAATAATAGGGACAAAAGGGACAATACTTCACCTTTTACTACAGAATGCAGGCTGATGAAAATACATTTAGAAATGCTAATTGCTTGAAACATCTAATAAGGAAGGTGAGTTCTACTTTCTGACTTTATTCTAATAGTAATATGACCATTTGGTGGCACTCACTTTGTAGTTTAGAGGACTGTTTAGGCTGCACCTTTCGCTTATTTTAGTTACCTATCAATTACCTTTGATGATTTGATTAATCTTGAAATTACACTTAGTAAATTAACATATCTAAATTAGGATTTGAAATTTAGAAAAAAAGGTTTTAGGCATATTTCAAATTACTTGCAGTGGTAAAATGTAAAAAAAAATTACATACATATATATGTCTACATGAGAGAGAGAGCAAATAAATCTAGATTGAAAAAAGTGTATACATTTATGTTTTTTATCTTATATGTTTTGTTGTATATTATATTTGTATTTAAGGGTTTTTCTTAATTGTTGCTTTAAGTTGGTTATCATTTTAACAAATAGCATGATTTAGAGTCTGTTACTCTAGGGAACAAATTATCAAATTAGCTCATGATTATTTCAATAGTCAATTAATCATGATTAATCCAATTCTACTTTTCAGCTCTAAGGACATTGAACCAATCCAAGATGTTACGTTAAAATTAGGTAGGTTAAAATGCTAAAAAAAAAAGAGATTCAATATTTGCAGAAACTAACTAAACAAGTTTAGTTTTTGCAGAGCAGCACAATGTAAATCTTAAACTTTTAACTCCCAAACTCACACTATACGAAACAATGGTGTATTCTAAGTGATACACATTCAGTGATATGACCCAATCTTTGAGATAACACATTTTATTTGCTCATATAGAACTATCTAAATGTTTGTTCTTTGTTTGGTTGTTTTTTTTTAAATATATTTTTCATTAGAAGAAAAAATATAGGAGCTTAATCAGTAAACAAGTTCTGCATAAGGCTGTATTAGATTCATTGCCTAGAATTTCTCAAGTACTAAACTTGCTTTTAAATAAAGTGTGAATACATCATCGGTTAGATCTGCTTATTTTAACTTAATAAGTAATCAAAATAACAATGTAAATTAAACAATATCAGTAAATACCTTACAAAGAAGAATGAAAATTATATCAAGAACAAAACAAAAAAAGTTTAATGCTCTATGCATTTCATCTGTTGTTACTCTAAATAGGCTATTTGGAATATAATTTTAATTGCAAATCGGATTTAAAACACAGCAGCAAACACAGGTTTGGGAGACTGCTGACATACAGTCTAAAACTGAGATTTAAAATGATGCCAAATGGATACAAACTATTTCTGTTTTAATCTTACATCTAGGAAACGTGCTAATGACTAAAATGGAGAACAAAGGCTTTTTGGTTCATTTTTATATGAAACATACTTTAAACTCTGTACATGACCTCCATGTTTAATTTGTGTGTGTTTTAAATAATTGTAATAAACAATGTGTCTGATGTTAAGAAGCTGCAGCATAATTACATCAACTGATTACAATGGGTCAATATGAGGCCTAATCAATGTCTGTGTTTAAACAGATCAAGGATGCTCCATCTTATGCTGCTACTCTGTGCACCCACACCCGGACTTATTCCCACTATCAACACATCCCACAGATATGTGGAGATCAATAAGGATAGATAACATAACTTTGGTGCATCCTCAAGTTCAGTAGATTCCCACTGTCTACACCTACTAAGGTTATGCCACCACATTTACATAATCCCAAGCCTTGGTTCGCAGTGTGGAATATAACTGTTTTAATACCATTTTAATATGAGAACAGACCTCAAGACGTGAAAATAAAGAACTGTTTTCGTCAATTTTTCTTACCTTTGTGGTTTTTTGCATCTCTGGATCCCCGTGGCAGAGGTGTGTAGGGCAGTGGGCGAATCTCTGATCCAGCCTCATTGAGCAGCTTTGGAAGACAAAAAAACAAGACAACAATGAACACAAAGGTATAATAGGGTGTTGTTAGTGTTAATACTAGATTAAGTCTGAGTATGACAAGTTATGAAATTTTGAGCCTAATGCAGCTCATATAAGGATGAATAATCAAATAAGCATAAAATAATCACAACAGTTAGTGATCCTTGAATTACTCTACTCAGATATATCCTTCTATTGTCATGGATCTAATAATGTGGTACAAGGAACAGCAATTTTACTTGGGCTACTTTAGTTGGAACTTGCTAGAAATTGTTATTATTTGCAAGGCAAATCCAAGTTTATGGACTTAGATGGAGTATAGAACATTGAGTTTACAGAAAATACTGGAGGTTTCTAATGGTGTATTCCATTTACCCCTGAAAATAGAACTTAAATCATGTAATGAGATTAAACCTTACTGAAACACATTGCAGTTCAAGCTTCTAATTTAACCCTTTGATGCCTATCGTTGTTAATATGCAACAAACCCTATTTATTATATACAGAGCCATGATAGCATGTGCATTCCCCCAAGGATTACACATGGAGTGAGGACCTGTGAACCTTTAGTAAGCTCCTATTTCCATTTATTCCTGATCCCTAACGGTGTATGCTATCATCGACCATTCTACATGTGGTCAAAAATTTGTAATAGCCTATACCTACATTTCTATTTATTTTCAAAATAAATACAGTTTATATAGCTTATACATACAGACTATAGACACCAAGGCTGTTTTTCAAAGGGAAGTACACCAAGTCAAGTTGTTAATTTTCCTACCCTTTAATTTCTTTTGCATATTAATCTCTTATCTCGTTCAGATCTAAAATCACCCTGGTGATTGCCCACAGCTGAAAGCAGAGATAACCGCATATATTAGTTTCTAAATTAAAATCTTAATATCTGAACAGTGTGAAAATTTTTAGATAACACAATAATGGAGTTTTCAACATGAACAAGATGATTGAGTACGTTTTGTTGTTATTTGGCACACCTTAACAGTTCAAAACATTAGCTTCTGTCCCCTTAGCCTTTTAGCCCATGGAGCAGGCAGTTTATCGTTGCACAGCGGTATCTGATGCCTTTGCAGAAATACTTTCGTTTCATGCAGAAAGGAATTCTCAAGGCTTTTAATCATAGGCGGAGAATTAACTGACAAATACATATTACACTGTTTGGAGCTGTATTTGCCTCAACCTCCATTATTGTTGTTCCTATACATGCCCATGCATAACCTTGAAAAATTGAATAGTGGGTGCTGTTAAATGGAACCATATTCTTCATGGCCAAAGAGAGCACTGTGAATTTCAAAATGTTCATATAATGTGCTTTCAGATAGCATCTCTGAGAAGCATTAAGGTTTGGCCTGCATGTGCCTTGTATTACACTGAGAAGAAAAATTGCCAAATATGCCATATTTGAGGCCTTCCTATATCTGCATGAGTGTTTGGAAGAAACAGAATGAAAAAGAAATATTATTTTGACAGCAGACCCACTGCTTTAAGTCTCTGGAGTGGCTAAAACTTGATAAGTTACATCAAAGCTTTCTCATTGCTTGCAATGTGTACTTGTGCAGAATGAGTAACACAAGCAGTAAAACAACCCAAAATGAGAACATACAGCACTAAATAAGAACTGCCACTTTCCATTTGAGAGAAGGGAATGGTGTCAGTTTAATTCACTTATACAGCAGCACCTGCACATTAGAGACTGGCGAAAGTCTCATCCTGCTCCAAAACATCAGCACAGCAAACTTTCTAACTTGTGCATTCTGACATTTGGCTGTGTCATTATAATTTAATTTGGCAGTCACAACAAACGCAAAGTGTGTATGTCAATTATGATGAGCTGAAGTGAATAAGTCAGGCATTAAGGCAGATATCGTGAGCTGTCTCTTTCCAATCTACAGTATCTCCATGCGTCTGTGATCCACCACAGAGCTGAGCTGCTGCTTGTCTAATTTCCTGATCTGCTTGAAAGATCACAAGGCAGGGCCTCTCCAGACTTGCTCGACCCTAAAAGGGTCCTCCTAATCCCGCTGCTTGGCCACAAATAATCATCCTAGGTGCCACATTATTAACAGTACCGCAGAGAGATTAAATATGTGGATTAACAGAACTAGACAACTGGAATGAAATGAATACGGAGTTAAATTTAAGAAAGCTCAGACTTCCAGCGTGATACCTCTACCCCAAACATATTTAGTTTCTGTGAGTGTTTAAGCTCATATTCTATTCATTCAATAAACATTTGTTGAACAACATCATTTCTGCAGGGATAAGATACTTTTCATAACTTTAATCACTGGTGAAAACATTAGATAACTTTTTTTTTAACTTAAATGAAAAGTTAATTCTGATTAAATGAAGAGAATCTATAAATAGTACTTTAAAACCCTTCACAGACTATTCTCTGGAATTCCCACTTTAAAACCTAAAGATGCTTTGATCTAACACGTTTCATTGTGTCTCTTCCGTGTAGTTAGGATTGTCGTCCTACCAGAAGGTGAACTTTGGCCTTAGCCTCAAATCTTTTGCTAGAGTCCCGAAGGTTACCAATAAGCCATGCTCTTAGTTCCATTTTGCTTTCCATTTTAACTCTGATCATATCACAACATAGTGCGTCCCAACCATGTTTAGGCATTGGGATGATATACTTTTCCTCTACAGAAAGCGTTTTGTTCATTGGACGAATCATGACATTTTTGGCTTTAGACAAATGCCATAAGGAAAATGCCTTTGCTCTCAACACTCGTCCATACAGGTCTGAATTTGTAAAGAGGACAATTCATAGTAACGTCTGTAACATCCTCCCATCAAAGCAGGAGTTAACTTTGAAATATTGCTTGCTTCTCAGATTCATTCTTTCATTGGCTTTATCTTAATTCCATTTTTTAGACAATATTTGTATGCTTTATCAAATATTCAAAGTTGGCATTGATCATTGATGTTTTCTGTTAAATAATCTTCCCTTACATATATCTGAGGCATTCACAGAACAGTTTTAGTTATACTGAGATTAAAAAACACTCAAGTTTTATCTGTGGACTAGTTAAGTTATATCCATTGCCAAATTAATTTAACACACAAGGCAATAGTTACAATATTTATAATTTGCTATAACATGAAAAAACCTGGAAATTTCAGGGTGTATTAACTCTTAAAATGGACTGATGCACTATTTGTTTTCCTTCTTGTTTGTTATTAGCTCTTTAGTCGTGCCAACACTGAACAGAGGGAGGTGCTGCTGTGTCGTCTATTTAAGACTCTCCCAGAGCCCCTTCTCCTTGCTCAGTCTCTCTGCTGTCCAGATTAGTCTGCTCATCAAGCTGAGCATTGTTTTAATTTGCTGGGCCTGGGGCATATGCTGAGTGTTCACATCATTATTGTCTCAGTGCAATGTGAGTTATCACCACAGCTTATGATAATGTGGCACAAATTTACAGGCTGGGGAGCATCGTGGATTCTGCAATAATAAAGACCGGACAGAGGGAAGTGGAAGGGGGGAGCTAGAGAAAGGAGGAAAGTGTGTGTGTGCGTGTGAAACACAAAAAAAAAGATAGCAAAAAGGAAGAGAGCAAGGAGAGAGAGAGTAAGCTCTGTTGGATGTCATTATGAAAGATGATTCCCATACTGGATAATACATCACACCAGTCCTGTCTGTCTTCTCTTTTTTCCCCACTGTTGTTATGTGAATAAATGCTGATAAACCCAGAGGCAAGGGTGATTATTAGTTCCAACATATCACCACAAGGGAGGAAGTAGAAAGAGAATGACATTGGAGGGTTGGGAAAGAAGTCGAGCAGATCACAAAGATAGAGCCAACCACTTCCAAGCTGTGAATCCTGAAACTGTAACACAAAAAAGTGAGTCAGAAAAATACTAGTAAATGCAAAGTTAGTTTTTTCATTTAAAGTTAACTGTTTAATAAGACTGATTATGTGGGAGTTAAATAAACCTGAATCATTTGAGTTTTAGATGATTTATGTACCTCTAAAGTAAGATTATAAGGCTTATGGTCAGTGGAAAAACACAATAAACACAAAGTTTTCCTCATGTTTAACTCACTCCTTCCCTTTTTTAAACGGCTAGCTTCGAAGTTTCCTCCTGACCGGCTGGTCCTGACACAGCTGGTTCCTGGCTTGCCTCACCTCGCCTCCCTACTTTAAGACTGACCAGCAATACAATCTAATTACAGCCGCGCTACAGAGGGAGACCAGTGTAAACACCAGGCCTTTTTATCTCCTTATACATCTGGACAAGTAGACAAAGTGCTAAAAGGAAATAAATGTGGCCTGACAGCCACATCAAAGAGTTCAGCCAGAGGCTTACTGCTACTTAGGGCACAGGAATGTTGTTGCTAAGCATCAACCCGCAACCTATCAGGGTGCAAAGAGGGCCCTGTCCTGCCAAAGAGAGGGAAAAGAGGAGAAGAGGGCAGAAATGACGAGGAGAGAGGGAGGGGGAGAGAGAGGAAAGGGGAGAGGAAGAGGAGTACGGGGCTGACATTGAGGGGAGGCTAGGGACTCAAGGAGATTTTTGTAGCTTAAAGCAATTGTTGGAAGAAACAAGCCTTCTGTTTTGTTTTCTCTTGACACCATTTCTGCTTTTTGTGCTTGCAAAAGACATGTAGAAAAATTTCTTTTGATATGTTTTCTCTTTGGGTCTATATCAAAATATTTCTTTTGTGTCTGTGCATGGAACTTTTTTCACATCTTGTCTCTATAAACTGGTGCTTCTTTCTGATCATGTTAGAGATCAGAGGAGACACAACTTGTGAACTTATTTGAGTCAACATTTAATGCTAGCATGACATGTTCACTCCTCTGCTAAAGGGTTTTTTTTTTCTTACGATGCATCCCTTGTACTTCTAAAGCAAGGGTTACAAACAACAATGCAAAGCAAAAATAAAGAATGAAACTAAATAAGTAGCACAAGTTTTGGGGAAGTTATAAAACATAAGATGCCAAAAAAAGGGGAAAATATTAA